GTAGTAGTAGTAGGTAGTAGTAGTAGTAGTAGTAGTAGTAGTAGTAGTAGTAGTAGTAGTAGTAGTAGTAGTAGTAGTAACAGTAGTAGTAGTAGTAGTATAGTAGTAGTAGTAGCAGCAGTAGTACTAGTAGTAGTAGTAGTAGTAGTAGTAGTAGTAGTAGTAGTAGTAGTAGTAGTAGTAGTAGTAGTAGTAGTCGTGGTAGTGGTAGTGGTAGTGGTAGTAGTAGTAGTAGTAGTAGTAGTAGTAGTAGTAGTAGTAGTAGTAGTCGTAGTAGTAGTAGTATCAGTAGTAGGAGTAGTAGTAGTGGTAGTCGTGGCAGGCTGGGGGAACACGTCGTCCAATGGCAATATTTGCGACGTTTCGCGAATCCCGCCCAACTCATCCAGAAACTATGCCCGTGCAAATTGAAGTAATCAGGAATTCGGAGGAACCCGAAGGGATCCTGAGGAATTCCGAAGAATTTCCTAAGAATCAGAAGGAAGGCTGAGGAATTCCGAAGAATCCGAAGGAGTCCTGAGGAATTCCGACGGAGGAATCCAAAGGAATTCCGAAGGAGGAATCCAAAGGAATTCCGAAGGAGGAATCCACAGGAATTCCGAAGGAGAAGTCCAAAGGAATTCCGAAGAATTCCGAAGGAATCCTAAGGAATCCCAATGGAATCCTGAGGAACTCCGAAAGCATCCTAAGGAATTCCGAAGGAATCGCAAGGAATTCCGAAGGAATCGTAAGGAATTCCGAAGGAATCCCAAGGAATTCCGAAGGAGTCCTAAATAATCCTGAGGAATTCCCAAGATTTCGAAGGGATCCGGAGGAAGTCCGAAGATCCCATCCGTGGTTGGAATTGGTATCATTTTTGGTTGGGTTGGAATTGGTCTCATTTGTGGTTGGAATTGGTTTCTTTTCTGGTTGCAATTCGCTCCGAACGGTTGGAATTGGGACTACTCGGTTGTAATTCGTTCCATTTCGGGTTGAACCACCCCCCTCCCCCCCTGTGCTGCCTCTGGTCATGGTCGCTGCGTCCCCGCCGTGGGCGCTGCTGTCGGCCGCCAGCGCCGAGGGGGGGTGGTGGGGGGGGTTTGAGCCCCCCCCCTTGGGAGGAAGGGGGGGTTTGGGAGATCGGGGGGGGTGGGGGGTAGGAGGGTCCCCTCTGGTTTTGATCGACGGCGCCGAGTGTGGGGGGGGGGGGGGGGAGGCACCCCCCGGTTCGAAACGCGCCGCCGAATGTTCCCCAAGCTTGCGCCCGTGACACGCGTTCTCTCGGACGGGGCTACGCCATGCAAGGAAACCTTGTGTTCTCGCGAACGTCCAAGTCCAGGCTGGGGTGTTCACTGGGGGACTGGCAGGCGCCAGCAGCAACAGCGGGTGCTGGCGACAGCCAGGGTTGGGTGGGTCTGATCGAGGCGATCGCCGCTTCTGAACGCTCGTACTGAAAAGAGGGAAAGCGCACGCGTGATCACAAGGTGATTAAACGAGCAGTGCGTGCACAACAGGAACAAGGGGGCAAAAGGCGGGACAGTGGCTAATCCCGCAATGCCCCCCCAGCAAAGGTGGGCCTTTGCGGGGAGTGGCGCGGGCTGGTGGCTGCGAGCGGCGCTGGCGCTAGCTTAGGCCAGCGGGGCTCGGCAGGAGGGACAATCGGTGCTGGTGGCAGCCAGGGCTGGTGGCCGTCGTGAGTTTTCCTCGTTTTCGGTCCTCTTGGGCTAGGAAAGCCGTCGAGGATAAAAAGTCCATCTAGGGGAAAGCCACGAAATCCCGGACCCGTTTTCCAGTGTTTCCCTCACGGCAGCGTGGGTCTGCGCGGGGGCCAAGCCCAGGCAGGTGGCCACGGAGGCTGTGCCAGGAGCAGTCTGGGCCGTTGGGACTTCGCAGGGGGGCGAGTGATGGAGCAAACGGCGCTGTCGGCGGCAACAAGGTCTGCCGAGACCGGGTGCAGCTTCGTGGCTGGATGGGCAGCTGGACGGACCTACCTGCTAAAGATGCCCAAGTCCATTTGGTGCCGCGGTCGTCTGTCTGGACGCTGTGATTACCCAGGGGGAGTGCAAAAAGGGAAATCGACGCCAGCAGGCACCCAGTTGTTCGGCCTGGACTGCTGGGCCTCGCCAGTCTCTCGGATCTCAACTTGCAGACTTCCGCTCCTGGAGGCCCGTTGCGCGCCGGAGAAATTGGGTGCAGTCCGCCACCAGGCCCACACCAGAGGTCCAAGAGTCCTACGCTCGTGTCTTTTAGCCTCTCCGCTGGTGGGCCTTTGCGCCCCGGCCGAGTGCGGCATGTTGGCTCCAGCGTGCATGAGGGCGACGTAGAAAACGGAGTCGAGTGCGCAGACAGTCGCGCCCTGAGCTGCCCGCGCGGGGTTGTTCGTGAGCGCCCTCGTCTCCGCGCGGTGGGCTGCGTCGGCGACCGGGGTAAGCCATCGCGTGAGGTCGCCGTGCCCTTTTCGCCCAATGGTTCCTTCTTCTTCGTCGCCCGTGTGGCGTCCGTGTATCACGCGGCCTCCTGACCTGCATGTGTACATCATCAGGGGCGAGGCTGCGCTGGACGCAGTGTGTGACATCACGACTCCGGCCGCTCCACTGCGCCTTGCGGCCTGTTCCCGAGCGCCGACTCCCAGAGCGCCCGGGTCTGCCGCCGTCTCCGCGACGTCGGTTTCGGCGCTGCTTCCCGCAGAATTCGCCTGCACTGCTAATGGGGTTCGGTCATCGTCTTGCACAGGCGGCGATACCGACCCTGCACTTCACATTTGCCTTCCTGCTGTTATGAGGGTTCCGGTCATCGTTTGGCCCAGGCGACGATGCCAACCATGCACTCCATTTTTGCCCTCCCTCATCCCATCTCCCTCTCGTCTCCTGGCTCGCTCTCTCCCTCTGGCCACAAACAGTCAGAGTGCACTGTAAGAGCTTATAGCTTACATCATGTCTGCGGCCATCGCTCAGTGCCGGCTGCAGATCCTGCGCAGGCTGTGCTGTTCGCAGGGCTCCTTTGCCTTTTGCAGCCGAGGCGTGAGCGGAAGGGTGCATTACAGTGCGTGTTTGCAGGCGGAGGCCGCTCATCGCCCTCGGCTGCGGGTACTGCGCAGGCTGCGGGTCGCAGGGCACCTCGGCTATTTTCAGCCGAAGCGCAAGCGGAGAGGGTGCATTACAGTCCGTATGCCGGCGGATGTCGCTTGTCTGCCCTCGGCCGCCAGTCCTGCGGGGGCCGCCGCCAAAAGCCGCGCGGCCGCTGCCCGCTGCTCACGCCATCGAGCGCCCCGTGCTGGGCCCTTGCCCGCTCGACAGCCACCGAAGTTCTCTGCGACCAGTTGCGAGCCCTGTCCCTGCGGGTCCAATCGTCGCCGTGGTATCGGAGATCCCCGCCGAGATTCACCTGACTGCAGACATCCTTCGAACTCTGAGGCCTGGCCGAGGCTTCATAGACTTGACCTGCAGGGGCATTGGTTCGCATTTAGTTGCCTGAGTTCACCTCGAAGGAAGCGGGCCCTGGAGGGAAACGGGCCGTGGAGGCGGCTTCTGGCCATTCTCGGGGCTCCCGGGACCCTCGGCGGGCCCCAGGACGGTCAAAAGACAGCCAGGGATAAAGAATTGGTTCCATGGGCAGACCCCAGGGACCCGTTTCCCTCAGGACCCGCTCTGGGGCCTTCTGGGCCCTGTGAGGGGTGCATTGGAGGCCCCGGGGGCCTCCTTGGAAATCTTGGGGGCAGCTTGGGCCCATGGCACTTATGGCAACGCTTCTGGCAACACCCGAGAAAAGTGGGAGGGTCGGCACCCAGAGGGCCCCCAAAAACCTGGAGGCTCCCAGAGCCCTCCGCCATCCTGGAGACATCCGCGATCAAGGAGTTCAGCTCAAGCAGAGTCGTGTCCTCCTCCTCCTCCTGCTCCTCCACCTCCTCACTTAAATAGGAGGGGCCGCCACTGTTTGACCCGAGCGTCGACGCATACCTACTTATTGTCTGAAGAGTAAAAGCCCCGCAATGTACATCATTTTGCCGCCATGCGTTCTCTCGTACAGCTTCCAACCCCCGCAATTCCAAGTGATAGCGGAGCTAGAAGCGAACCCAATTCGCGATCCACGGAACGTGCGAAGAGTGCGGTTTGGACGCACATTCTCATTTACCTTCATTTCCGCATCGGTACCACCCTCCATCTCTTGAACAATTTGTGCGTACGACTGTTCTAAAAGCCGATCGGCAGTTCGCCTCGGACACCCGGTCCGACTGCGAGGGCAGCAGCAGAAGAGCGAAACCGCGATAAGGAGCGATTCGCCCACAGGAACGCCACCACGTTCCTCGACCCATCGCAACCCCACAGGCACTGGCCGCAGTTTCGCGTCGGACATGAGTGCAAGGCTCCATCCTGGGCTAGCGCCGTGCCTCAGTACGTGAGCGATGGTGCTTGCTGTCCTTGTAAGCACATCGCACCACCCGAGTGGAACACTGCAGGTCAATGTATCAATTTCACCGACCTCGGCTTCGACCAAGGTTGGCACGATGGTAGTCCAACCGTCCATCGGGGCACCTCCCGCAATGAACATGACATCTTGTAGGATATTGTAGGGACATGCGAAGAGGGAATGTGGAGTGAGGGTATGTCACAACATCGTTGATGCATCTTGGGTTTACATTGGTCTTCCTCCTCCTCGTCCTCCTCCTCCTCCTGCTCCTGCTCCTGCTCCTCTTCCTCCTCCTCTTCTTCCTCTTTCTCCTCCTCCCATCGACGGTCAGAAAGTCTGGCTTAGCGTGTCGCGCCGCCGGTCGGGTCCTGGCCCACTACGCTGCGGCGCGACACGCTGGCTGCGTCCCAGCCCCCGAAGCGTTAACGTCCCGAGCCTTTCTTAGCGTCCCGCCCGGCGGAGTGGAGCGACACGCTATCCGGTCGCAGGGCCTAGTGTTTCGCCAGGACCGCCGCACCGACAGGCTAAGCAAAAGTTCCCGACCATAAGCAGGGTCGTGTCCCCTTCCTCCTCCTCCTCCTCTTCCTCCTCTTCCTCCTCCTCCTCCTCCTCCTCTTCCTCCTCCCTTTCCCCCTCCTCCTCCTTTCCTCCTCCCTTTCCTCCTCCCTTTCCTCCTCCTCCTCCTCCTCCTCCTCCTCCTCCTCCTCCTCCTCCTCCTCTCTCCCCCCATGGTGAACGCTGTGCCTCCTCCTCACCCCAATCCCCAATAATCATTTGCGCCTCCAGATAAGGGCGCGCGCGTGTACGAAATCTTCTGCTGCCTGCCGGGCCCAAAACCATCTTTGGGATATCGACATCAGCGTAGTCCAGTTATCCCCGCCACGTTTCCCCCCCCCCCCCCACGCTTGTCCCACACTCCTCGAATGAATCGGGCGGCCGAGCGCTTGCAATCTGCCAAGCCAGCGTGGACCGTAGCCAGCTCGGGACACTGGCGTCAGCTCGAGAGGTATGCGTCGTCGTTCAGCTCCTCCCGCCACGCTGGCGCGCGCCTCTCACACTGCCAAGATCGTTCGGGCGGTTGATCATTTCTGCACGATGACCCGCAGCGGTTTCGGCCCAAGCCAGTTCGGGCTCAAGTGCTCGGCCCAGGGCGCGGCGCAGCCGTGCGGACAGGGACACGCGATGACCACGCGCTTCAAGAAGAACCGCCACCTGCGCGGGGCGATCTCGGCGGGCCGCGGGCGCATCGGGAAACACCGCAAGCACCCGGGCGGCTGCGGGAATGCGGGAGGCCAGCACCATCACCGCATCAATTTCGACAAGTACCACCCAGGCTACTTCGGCAAAGTGGGCATGCGCAACTTCCACCTGATCAAGCACGGCAAGGTGTGCCCACTGATCAACGTGGATAAGCTCTGGTCGTTGGTCCCCGAAGGGACGCGGGAGCAGTTCGCCGCGAAGAAGGACAAGGCTCCCGTCAGGAGGACGAGGAGGAGGACGAGGAGGAGGATGGAGGAGGAGGAGGAGGAGGAGGAGGAGGAGGAGGAGGAGGAGGAGGAGGCGGAGGAGGAGGAGGAGGAGGAGGAGGACGAGGAGGGAGGAGGGGGGGGAGGAGGAGGAGGAGGAGGAGGAGGAGGCGGAGGAGGAGGAGGAGGCGGCGGCGGCGGCGGCGGCGCTCCACAAGAGTCCGAAGCGGGTCGAACTAGGGAGGATGGGAGCGGATGCCCCCCTCAAATCTGCAGCTCGGCACCTCACGCACGATGGGCACTAGCGGCGGCCCCGTGCATGCACGGGGGTAGCCAGTGCACAGCCCGTGCCGAAGCGGCTCCTTCCTGCACCAGGGAGGCGAGACCAAAAACTTAAACCCACGGTCCAACAGCAAGCAGCAACGACGCGGAAGGAGGGCGAGCGAGCGGGCGCGCGACCAAGGCAGCACCGCCCACCCCCCGAGGGAGGTGAGCGCTGGCGCCGAGGGAGCGCCCCCGAGGGGGGAGGAGAGCCCGAGGGCCGAAGGAGCGGGACGGGCGAGAAAGCGAGAGAGACGACCAGACACGACGAGGAAGCAGGAGGGGATCGATTACTCGCTCAGACAATCAACCTAGACTGGATTTCTAATTCAGAACGCACGCTAACACAGAACCCGAATTCACAGGCCCAGAAAAAGTTCGCTGCTCCAAAAACTTAGGTGGAGGGGAGAAAGGAGGGACGGCGGCGGCAGCACACGGTGCCTTCAAGCAGGCGGGGCTCAGGTCACGAGGCGCTCGATGGAGGTACCCTCCCCGACGAAACCGATCCACGCGCGGTAATCATTCGAGGAGGGCGGCGCACCTATGATCCACTCAAGGTCCCTGAACCACATGTGGCAATCATCGTCGACGGGCGTCTCACCTATGATCCGCTCGCGGTCTCTGAACCACTCGTGGCAATCATCTATGACAGGCACCGCACCTATGATCCACTCAAGGTCCTTAGACCACTCGTGGTCCCTGTCGATCACCAGCTAGCGGCCAACCTCCAGCACCTTCTGGCCCTCCAGCTCTAGATGTCCAGGCGGCCTCGGCCCAGAGAATGCCGGACGCTTCTCCACCGACTCGATGGCGCTCACGAGGATCTTCTCGAACTTCTCATGCTTCATTCCGATGATGAGACGCTTCTTCTTGCTGTCGTACATTTTCTCGGTGCGGAAGAGGCCCACGATGTGCTGTGCCTTCTTCGACCCTGGCTTGAACTTGTCCAAGTACTCCTTCAGCGGAGCCTTGAACCCTTCCTCGCAAGACTCCAGCATGGTGATGATCGCAGCCGTCAACAAGAATGAGTCTGGCGCCCCCAACCCATGTCCAGCTTTCCCCTTGACCCTCGGCAAGTACTCCTCTGCATGGGCCTTGGCCATGGCCCTCATGATGGGGCCCTCCACTAGCATCTCGATCTCTACCGTGCACGCTGCGGCCAGCAGCCTGGCCTTTTGATTAGCAATCACACCCAGCTTGAGCGCTCAGTCGATATTTTGCTTGTCCTCCGTGCATTCAATCTGGCGGTACTTCACAGAGCGACCTCGTGGCTCAGCTGCAGCGTCACCAGGCCCTGCATGCGCGAACTGTTCCTTCCACATCGGCCGAACAGCACTGCACCTCGGGCGATGGGCACTCACAGCCAGGTGAGCACAAGACCGCGACCGAAACACTCGAGCCAGACATCAACGAATTCACACGCACACCGCACCTCTGAGGCACGGTCAACAGGGTAGATGTGTTAGCATATGCGCTCTCGCCACTTCGTACGTGGCGAACTCCTCACTACACAGTTCACACCAATAAGGGGGGTCGGCAACATGTTGATGCACCGTGACGGACCCTCTCGACCTCGGACATTTTCCTTTCTTAATGGCTTGATCCAAGTGTTCCGACGCATATCGTTTTGTCGTATAAAAGTTGTTGCGCAAGATGCATTTGTTTGATATAGTAAGTATTTTTGCCAGCTGCTTTTTTCCCGTGTCCTTCTGCTTTTGAGTTAGACTGATGCAGCAGTAGCTGGCGACGCGTTTCGAAGCCCAGGCCACAGCCTTCAATGTCGCACACGTGTGGTGCGGGAGTGGGCGGCTCGGGCAATTCTGGCTGAAGTGCCGCAGGATCTGGCTCTTCGTCTCCCTCCCGTGGTACCTCCTGCTCAGCTCCTCCCACCTCTCCCTCGACAGGCTGTTCTCCTCCACCTCCTCTTCTGTTCCTTCCCACCACCACCTCCTCCACCAGCCTCTCCGAGATCTCCGCATAGACTCTAGGTCCCCCCGTCACCCTCTTCAGCTTCTCAACCGACACCTTTAGTACTGCCTCCCGCACTTCAGCATCGCCCAAAAAAACGCAACTGGGCGTTCCACAAGCGCGGGCAGGATGTCTGGCATCTGTAAGAACTCGACACAGGCAGAAAGATCAAGTAGCAGCTGGTTCCACCACGGCTGCACCGAGCTCCCTCCAGGGGCCCTTGCCGAAAAGCCCATCTCGTCACACAGGTTGTGCTGGTCCCAAGCAGCGTAGCCGAACAGAGTAGCAATGAATAAGACATGTCTCTCAGGGTTCCGAATGATTTCTTGCCACCAGCTGATCCTCTGCGCCCGCAGCAGGCTGAAGGGTGCACGGATTCGCAGAAGCTCTCGAACCTTAGAGTTGGGCAAGGCGGCGTGGTGTTTGGCCCTCAGCTCCGTCGCTTCAACCTTGAGACACCCCTTGCCCTGCAGAGCTTTTCTAGCTAGTTTCGCCTGCACGCCCTCAATCTTCTGAAGCTCCGCCTCAAGAAGGGGGTGCGCGATCACCTCCGATAAGAGCGAGGCGTCGATCATGCTCTTGAAAATGACGCCCCCTCCACCTTTCATTCGTAACCTCGCTCCAGAAACTCCCTAGGGCCGCGAACGTTTGTTTTGCCCGCCTGACACGATACCCAACTTCTGGTTTCGATCTCCCTTGGAAATGTAGCTGGCCACCCAGATACCTCGCCACTCTCTGTACCTCCCCCTTCATTACGTCCTTGTCCCTGTACAGTCTCCTCATCCCATACTGCATGCCCCTCCCCTCCAGCTGCACCAATGACACCTGCTTGTCCCCGTTCAGCGCTACCCCCTCCTCCCATAGCTCCGCATCGAGGTGCATGAACTGGGCATTCGTGCGCAGCCTGCAGTGAGCTGCGTCTTCCACGGCCGACGTACGAGCGATGTCGCCCGAGAAGCTGGAAACAGAAATGTCGAACAACTCCCTCGACAGGGCCCCGAGGCGCTGCCTGGCTTCGTCATCTGTTGCGAGGCAGTGCCGAAGCCACTTGATCTGCACATAGATCCCGCTGGCGTCAGAATCCCGAAATCTATCGATCGCGGTGTTGTAGGACCCCAGGAACCATATGCATGCGACCGTGTCCCCAGGGAGAGTGCCTTGCCCTATGCTCACCTGGAGGTCCCCATTCACGCACTCAATCATCACCTGTGCGTAGTCCAGCCTCTGCTCCAGTAACACAGCCCCGAACTCGTCGCAGTGCGCGCGCACATGCGCTTTCAGCCTATCATGATGGATACTGTGAAAAGCATTCGCTGCGTCGTACAACGTTGTTACCCTGCCTATCTTAGGGCCGTGCAGCCTAGCAGCGCAAGCGTTCTGCACAAGGATCGCCTCCTCCCGCCGCCTCCCCCGAAGATAACCGAACGCGTATGGCCGATCGGCCTGCGCAGTCAATGCTGGGTACGAACGCCAGAGCTGAGCATAGTAGGCTTTGCCGAGTGCGTCAAGCGAATGCACAAGCCTCTGGCCCTTGCATTCACTTTTTCCATTGAGCTTATCCAGCGAGAAAGCGTGGCTACGATGCCACTGCAGCGGCGTCTCGGAATGCATCCTGATAGCCGTGCAAATCCTCACAATGCATTTGGTGATACATGGAAAATACCAGTCCTCTACATTTTCATATTTCTCCAGGACCTCGCCTCGCGAGTACTTATATTCGTTGGGGTTCATCATCAGCCTCCACACCCCTGCGGGGAAACTCCAGGCTGGCGGCGTCCGCCTCAGGCGGGCCGACAACAGCTGCCTTCTCAGGCTTTCAAAGTCATCATTCGCTCTGGCAAGTGTGTCGGGCGTGAGCGATGTGCACGCAGGCCTTGTCGCCCTTCGCGCTTGCTCCTCCTCCTGGACAGGGGGCCTCGCAGCAAATCCGCCCTTACTACCCTGCTGCTCCAAAAAAATGCGCCACGTGCTCATTTCTAATCGAGTCTTGGGGGCACAGAAGTTGCGTTGCTTAGGTCCTAAGTGGCTCTTCGCTAAAAGCCTGGACAGTTTCCAACAGAGCGCCATGTCTCCTTCACTCTTCGCAATTTCTAGTTCTCTCACATATAGCCCCATGCGCCTAGATCTATCCCGGCGCAGCTGGAGTCGAACCTTTTTGTCTCGTTCCCGACACCTCGCGATGACTGCTGCAAGACACGCACTGGGTTCATACATCTCAAGACATGCACGCGATGCGTGGCACATACGCCCGAGGAAATGTGGCGACAGGAACTCATGGACCCCTCGTCCGCTAAACTTACAAAACGCGGTGCTCAGCACACTGGGGAGAGGAAGAGGAGGAAGGGGGTCTATGGGGACGCTCTTCAAGTCCCTAAGCAACTTACGATCCTTAATTCTGTCTTGCAGAGCTTGCGTAGTGTCAGGGGGCCTCGAGTCCTGCTTAGATTCCCTTTTAAAATACACGCGAGCCACTGACTCCACTACTTCGTGCATCGTGTTATACATTGCATCAGCGCTCTGCACACTGAGTTCTTGCACCCTCGGTGCTACTACTTCGAGCGCTCGCTCGACTTGGTTCAGAAACTCCTCCGACCCCTGACCGAACCTCACAGCACGCGAAATCGCATCGTGGTTCCAGCACGACGGCGCTTGCTTGCACATCTCAAAAGAGGGTCCTATTATAAACCTCAGCACAAGAGGGTAGTGGTCCCTGCGCGTGCGTGTGTGAATTATCTGCAATTTCTCGCCCGCCCTCCCCCACACCTCACACGACTCCGTATATGATCTAACTACCGCAGGCGCGCACACATAGTCTATCCTTGACGTGTGCAGCCCTGAACCATGGTAAAAAGTCGGCCCTGTCTCGAAAAAACTGCTCAACGCTGCTAATTCTTGCTGTTCAAGAAAATCCCTCATTCTACTACCATTGAAATTCTCATCGGCGGGCTCGCACGTGCCAACATACCTAGACTCCTGCTTGCCCCCTAGCTTCGCGTTCGCATCTATCATCAGGATATGGATGGTACGTGCTGGGAACGTGTCGACCAGACTATTCAGGCTCTTCCAAAACTGCTTACACTTCTTCTCTTGCGTACTTCTCTCTTTGGCCGAGCCGTGGGGCTCAGTCGGGGCATAGCCTACTACGAAGGTCATGTCAATGAGTTTCCCCCTGCACCGCACCGCGCCTAGCCTGCCCTCCATGCCTTTCGGGGACATCACGTGGCTGATGGTGTGGCTGGGGAAGGACTTGGTGCTCAGCAGCAGCGCGAGGCCTGTCGGGCGGCCCGCCACTCCACTCGCACGAGGCCACCGAAATCGATGAAAATGAGCCAGCCGATCTTGCTGACAAACGAGCCCTCGAGAATCAGGCGTACACTGTGTACCTTGCAATCCAATTACCTGGCACGATCTTAGCTGTCTTGCGATATCATTCCATCTCCCCTCCTGCCTCAGCGAAAGCACATTGTATGAGCATACTCGTAAGTTCTGCATCAGCTGGGGCTGCCCGAGCGCATCATTCTGGGGGAGTGTCGAGAGCGCGACGGTGGCGCTCTGGGGGCCTCTTGTTGCCCCCCACTTAGATCCCCTCGGGCCAGAAGGGGCTAGGAGGAGGAGGAGGAGGAGGAGGAGGAGGAGGAGGAGGAGGAGGAGGAGGAGGAGGAGGAGGAGGAGGAGGAGGAGGAGGGGGGGGAGAGGAGGAGCGGAGGAGGGAGGCGGAGGAGTGGGAGAAGGAGGAGAAGGAAGAGGAGGAGGAGTGGAGGAGGATGATGAGGAGGAGTAAAAGGGGGAGGAGGAGTTGGAGGAGGAGTTGGAGGAGCAGGAGGAGGAGGAGGAGAAGGACCAGTGTAAACCCAAAACCATTAACGATATTGCAATTCTCCCTCCCTCCAAGTTTGCTCTACATAGGCCCCTACAAATATTCATTTTCACTGAGGGAACTATCCGCTGGAAGACAATCGTTTCAAAAACCAGGACTGTGCCAGAACATTCCTGTGACTTCAACGCCGCGAATCACCGTTACCAGTGCATCTAGAAGATCCTGAATCGTACCAGAACCCCCCCCCCGTGGCTTCACACAGTGAAGCAACGTGATGTGTTGCGCCCTGACATTCCGACATCGTGTCAAAGCATCATGTCTGGAGCATAAACCATGGTAATCCTTGATACTGCTGCATGCTCTTAAGTCTGATGTGCATGGCACTAAAGCGAGAGACACATTTTGAAAAGGAACCGCCCTCCATCCGTGGAACTGTTGCAACACTTTAAAACGAATGTGCGCGGCGCTAATGCGAGAACCACATGTTGAAACACACACGCTCTCCATCTGCGAAGCTGTTGCAAACTGTTGCGACGAATCTGCGCTTCGCTGAGGCGAGAATCGCATTTTGAAAACGGTCCGCCTTCCATCCGTGAAATTATTGCAAATTTTAAGCTTCAGGATCAGAAATTGAAAGGAGGTCTCAGGTGAACTGCCTGGCCCGCCCTTTCGACTGGCTTCGGGGCGCGACAGGGAGGAGCTATTAGAAGGAACACGAATGGAGGAAGGAGGAGGAGGAGGAGGAGGAGAGAGGAGGACAAGGCTCCCGTGATCGACGTTATGAAGGCGGGGTACATGAAGGTGTGCGGCAAAGGGCAGCTGCCCGAGCAGCCCCTGATCGTGAAGGCGCGCTACTTCACGAAGGACCAGGCGAAGCTAAATGGTGCACGCGCACTGGTCCTGGCCGGGCCCCTGCTCGGCCCTGGGTGTCGGAGCTTGCCTCCGCCGAGGGAAGATGATCCTAGTCTCGGTGATGGTGATACTATTTGGGCTTCTGAGGTGGCCGGAGATTGCCACCATCATCCGAAGCCAGGGTCGTCTTCCATTGGTGGAGGCAACTCCCGATGGCGCCAACTTCCAGACCCTACCGTGTGACCGTATGCGCACGGTCCCAGAGGACCGAACACATCCATTTTGGAAGTCGAGGCTCTATTTTGAAGGGCGGAAGGGCTTCCAGAATGGAGGAGAAAGGCTTTCAGAATGGAGGTCTGACCTCCATCTTGAATGTCTTTGATCCCCTGTGGTCTTCGCCATTCTGCAGGAGGCCGAGGTCAAGATCAAGGAGGCTGGTGGGGTCTGCGTCCTCGTGGCCTGAGAGCGCCGCCAAGCGCCGGCGCCCGCCCAGAAGGAAGTTCCCCCAAAAGCGGTCATCGAAAACCGCAAACAGAGCACAAGCTAGCACTTTCGCAGCTACTCGCGGATTTCTTGGATCGGCGCTGGACCACCTTACCCGAGTCGCTGGGCAGAGCCTTAGAGGATGACTGGGAGGACAGGAGGATGAGGCGGAGGAGGAGGAGGAGGAGAAGAAGAAGAAGAAGACGAATGATGAGGACGAGGAGAAGGGAGGGAGAAGGAGAAGGAGAAGGCGAACGAGAAGGATGAGGAGGATAAAGACGATGAGGAGGGAGGAGGGGGAGAAGCAAAAGGAGAAGCAGGAGGAGGACGAGGGCGGGGAGGGGAAGGGGAAGGAGGGGAGAAGGAGGAGGACGAGGAAGTCAATCAATCGTTCAACCAAGAGCCACGAGCGTTCCTAACGAATACCTACCGACTTATCTCGGTGTCGATTCGGATTGGGAGGACGAGGAGGAGGAGGAGGACGAGGAGGAGGAGGACGAGGAGGAGGAGGAGGAGGAGGAAGAGGAGGAGAAGGGGGAACACCAGGAGGAGGAGCATTAGCCATTGGCCATAGCATTAGAGCGGGCTGCTCAATTTGTACAATCGCGTGTAGTTCCAGCCAACTCTGTAGGAGTTCCAAGCCGTCGCGAAACTCAGCGAGTAGGAAGAGCGGGAGGAGCAGTCAGAGGAGGGGGAGGGGAGGAGAGAAGCAGGAATGCGAGGAGGAGAAAGGGGAGGAGGAGGAGGAGGAGGAGGAGGAGGAGGAGAAAAGGGTAGAAGGAGGAGGAGGAGGAGGGCAGGCCAAAGGAAACTAATCATGGGGAGGACGATGAGGATGAGGAGGATGTGGATGGAAATGATGATGAGGATGAAGATGATGATGATGACGATGATGATAATGCGGCTGACGATGCTGTTTATGATAATGGTGGTGATGATGATGATGTTGATGATGCCGATGATGCTGATGAGTATGAGGACGAGGATTTGTATGATGCTGATGCTGATGACGATGATGCTGCTAATGATCATGATGCTGATGATGATAATCATGATTCTGTTGATGCTGATGATGATGATGATCATGATGATGATGATGATGCTGATGATGCTGATGATGATGATGATGCTGGCGATGGTGCTGGTGCTGGGGATGATGATGATGACGATGATGATGGTGATGCTGATGATGGTGGCGATGATGATGACGATGTCGATTTTGATGGCGATGATGATGACGACGATGATGATAATGATGCTTCTGCTGCTGATGATGACGATGATGAAGCTGAACGTGGTTATGATGGGGAGGGTTGTGGTTGTGTTTTTTGTGATGATGGTGATGAAGATGATGATGATGACGATGATGATGATGCTGCTAAGCGTGATGATGATTGTGATGTGCACTGTGATTGCGATGCTGGTGATGTGTGGTTATGCTGATGAGAATGATGCTGATCATGGTGGTGGTTATGATGATGATGATGATGGTGATGATGATGATGATGATGATTTGAATGAGGATGGGGATCAGGATGACGATAATCATTACGATGATGATGATGATGATGATGATGATGATGATGATGATGATGGTGTTGATGATGCTGATGATGATGGCGATGATCATGACGGTGATGATGAATATAATCATGATGACGATGATTATGCTGATGATGATGCCGCTGCTGGTGATGATGATGTTGATGCTGATGGTGGTGATATGATGACGACGACGATGACGATGCCGATGGCGATGACAAGGAGGAGGAGGAGGAGGAGGCAAGGGATCTCTTAACAGTGAGTTGAAGATCTTAACCGTGAGTTAACATTACGCTGTTGACGCTACTCAGCGCCGAGTGCATCAACATTACGCTGTTGACACTACGCCGTTGGCATAAAGAGGAGAGACCGTACGCTTCTAATATGTGGCACTGCGCTGTTGACGCTACGTTGTTGGCATTAAGGGATGCTGTTGGCATTAAGAGGAGATGCTTTGCGGTGCTAATCTCTGGCACTGCGCTGTTGACACTACGTTGTTGGCATTAAGAGACGGCGGTTGGCATTAAGAGGAGGTGATTAGCGCTTCTAATACTTGACGCTGCGCTGTTGACATTACGTTGTTGGCATTAAGAGGTTGTGTTGGAATTCAGAGGGGGGCTCTGCGCTCCTGAATCTCTGGCACTGCGCTGTTGACATTACAGCATTGGCATCAAGAGGCGCTGTTGGCATTAAGAGCAGACGCTGAACGCTAGTTGTACCCGCTGGTACCTCTGACACTGCGTGGCGCTGTTGACATTCGGCTGTTGGCAGTAACAGGAGACTCTGTACGCTTCTTGCGCGCTCCTACCTTTGACATTGCGCTGTTGACACCACGCTGCTGGCACTAAGAGGAGACGCTGTACGCTGCTCGCACGATGCTACCTTTGACACTGCGCTGTTGACACTACGCTGTTGGCATTATCAGACGCTGTACGCTCCTTGCACGCTTCTAGCGAGGCTTTGACATTGCGCCGTTGGCGGTTTTGCTCGCACTGTTTGTTGACAGCACGCTGTTGACACTGCGCTGTTGGCACTGCGTTGTTGACACTACGTTGCTGACAACGTGCTCTTGACATTGCGCTGCGAGCTGCTCGTCGCGCCTAAATCAGCCCAGAATGAGTTCGAGCTGTTGACAGCACGCCGCTGACATCACGCTGTTCGTTGACACTACGCTGTTGGCACCACGTTGTTGACACTACGCTGTTGACAGCACGCTGTTGACAGTACGCTGTTGACAGTACGTGGTTGACACTACGCTTTTGACGCTACGCTGTTGACGCTGCGTTGTTGACGATATGCTGCGGACACTACGCTGTTGACACCACGTAGCTCCCACTACGCTGTTGACGCTACGTTGTTGACAGTACGCTGTTGGTTGCCACTATGCTGTTGACGCTTCCCTGTTGGTTGACACGGCGCTGTTGGTTTTCATTGCGCTGTTGATTGACAATACGGTGTCGGTTGGCGGTTGTGACATGTCACATATCCACATATCGAATGATATGTTTGGCCCGTCTCATTCCGGGCCTTCGCTCCCATCTCTAGCTCCACTCGCCACCCCCCCCCATGCACCTAATCGAGCTGCTGGACATGTGTCCAGCAAGGCCAAAGGTAAGTTGGGGGAGGGTGGTTTGAGGGCCCCGGTAATATCAGCGGGAAGGGGAGGTACAGCGCATACAGTCTTGCCATGGCGATGCTATCACCCAGCTTATTGTGCTTGCACCGGACAGCGGGTCGGGAGTTCCAGAGTTCCAACGAGGACGTGGACGAGGAGTAGGATGAGGAGGAGGAGGAGCAGGAGGAGGAAGAGGAGGAGGAGGTGGAGGAGGAGGATGAGGAGGAGAATGGACGACGACGACGACCAGCACCTGGGTCCTAGTCCTCGCGACTTCTCCTTTCCTTCTTGTCCCATGGGTCCTGCCATTTCGGCTCGCGCCATGCGCCCGCGTCAGCGGCGGGTGCCTCCGCGCGGCCGATGGCGCCGAAGAAGCGGCCAGCTGCGGCTTCCTCCTGGCTGCCTGGTGGAACGCCTCCGCGCCACCGCCGCGAGGACTGGCGCGCAGGCCGCTCCCGCGGCCGCCTCGCCTGCCGCCGCGGCCCCCACTGCTCCGCCGGCGGCCGCGGCCCCGCGGCGTCGGCCCGACTCCCGAGCTGCGGGCGCCGTGGGGCCGAGCAGGCTGGCTGGCTGAGCCGAGCATGGAGTGCACGATTGCGCTGTTGACACTGCGCTGCTGCCCGTCTCGCCCAGGACTGCCCAGAGCGAGTTTGTTGGAAGATCGCCGAATCCGAGCTGCGTTGTTGGTGGTCGCGTTGTCGACGATGCGCTGTTGACAACGCGCTGTTGGTTCGCGCTACGCTCTTCATTGATGTCACGCTGCTGGTTGAAGCTACGCTGTTGGTTGGCACTACGCTGTTGACACTGGCGTGACGTTGACATTGCGCTGTTGACTCTACGCTGTTGAAGCTGCGACGATCGCGGCGTTATGCATTGAGCGAGCGTCGCGCGCCGTTGACGCTGCGCTGTTGACACTGGGCTGTTGCTTGACGCTACCAGGCAAGCGGCGTTCTCGACGATCAGTTGTTTCCCCGTGACCGCACGTCCTCGACGTTCAATTATTCCGAAGTTATTTCTTGGTATGGGAATCACAGAGCTGTGCGATTAACGCTGGAGCTATTGTTCCAAAGCCAAGACACCTTATCTTCGAACTTCTCATGAGGGGCGAGCGAACATGACATATGATTTATCATGTTATTTCCGAGTTATGTATGGCTTGAGATGAGATGCGTTTTCACATACATCTCGCGTGAGAGACGTTTTTCATCAGGGACGGCTTCTCAGGAGAGACGGTTTCCCATGAGAGACGATTCTATTTTGACGGAACTCATATGGGAGACGGTTTCTTGTCAGAGACGCCACCCCAAGACAGAACAGGATATGCGGATTTAAAAGCAGAGACGGTTTTAAGATGAGAAGCGATTTGTTATCAGAAACGATCTTCCATGAAATAATATGGTTTCATGCTATATAATACAACGATATATTGTTTTAAGTGGGAGACGGGATCAGATGCGAGATGTTCTTCCATGGCTTATTTTTTATGAGACGACTTTTAATGAGCGAAGTTTTGTATTGGGACACTGAACGAATCGCCCGTCGCGCCAAGATCTGCACAGAACGAGTTTTGTGAAAACCGTCGAAGTTAAGCCGCGTCGTTGGCGGTCGCGTTGTCGACGCTGCGTTGTTCAGAGTACATTGTTGGTTGTTGACAATGCTACTCACGCGGTGCACTGTTGCTTGACAGTACGCTGTTGATTCAGGCTGCGTTGCTTGAGGTTACGCTGTTGGTTGACATTATGCTGTTGACACTACGCTGTTGGCACTGCGTTGTCGACATTGCGCTGTTGACAGTGCGTTCTTGATTGCTGACAATACTAGTCACACGGTGCACTGTTGCCTGACAGTGCGCTGTTGGTTGAGGCTGCGTTGCTTGATATCACGCTTGACATAAAATTGTTGATACTACGCTGTTGACACTACGCCGTTGACACTGTGCTGTTGACAGTGCGCTGTTGATTGTTGACAATACTACTTTCGCGGTGCACTGTTGCTTGACAGTACGCTGTTGGTTCAGGCTACGTTGCTTGAGGCAACGTTGTTGATTGACACTACACTGTTGACACTGCGTTGTTGACATTAGGCTATTGACACTGCTCTGTTCACAGTATGCTCTTGGCTGTTGACAATGCTACTCACGCGGCGCACTGTTGCTTGACAGTTCGTTGGTGTTTCGGGCTGCGTTGTTCGAGGTTACGCTGTTCCTTGATATTACGCTGTTGACACCACGCTGTTGGCACTACACTGTTGACATTGCGCTGTTGACATTACGCTGTTGATTACTGACAGTGCTACTCACACGCGACACTGTTGTTTGATAGGAGGCTGTTGGTTCAGGCTACGTTGCTTGACATTACGCTGTTCCTTAACATCTACTGTTGACACCAGGCTGTTGACACCACGCTTTTGACACTGCGCTGTTCAGAATACGCTGTTGGCTGTTGTCAACACTACTCACACGGTGCACTGTTGCTTGACAGTGCGCTGTTTGTTCAGGCTGCGTTGTTCGAGCTTACGCTGTTGTTTGACATTGCGCCGTTGACACTACGCCGTTGACACTACGTTGTTGACACTACGCTGTTGGTTGTTAACCATACTATTCACACTGTGCACTGTTACTTGACAGTACGCTGTTGGTTTTACGCTTTTGACACTGCGTAACGTTGACACTGCGCTGTTGACTCTGCGTTGTTGACACCACGCTGTTTGTTGAGATGACTACTCGCGCGGCGTTTCGACGATCGCGGCGCTACCCATCGACCGAGCGTCGTTAACATCGCACCTTTGACACTACGCTGTTGACACTACGCTGTTGACAGTGCGCTGTTGCTACGCCGTTGGTTGATACTGCGCTGCTGACACGACGCTGCTGACACGGCGCTGTTGACGTTACGCTGTTGACGCTACGCTGTTGACATTACGCTGTTGACGCTACGCTGTTGACATTACGCTGTTGGTCGACGCTACGACGTTGTTTTTTGCTACGCTGTTGACACTACGCTGCTGACACAGCGTTGTTAACACTACGCTGTTGACACTACGCCGTTGACATTACGGTGTTGGTCGACGGTGCGCTCAGATTTCACGCCATGCCGTTGGTTCGCTCAGCTGACCATAGGCTGTCGACAGTACGCTGTGGACAGTACGCTGTCGGCACTACGCTGTTGACACTACGCTGTTGACAGTATGCTGTTGCTACGCCGTTGGTTGACACGACGCTACTGACACTACGCTGTTGGCACTACGCTGTTGCTGCGCCGTTGAGTGACACTACGGTGTTGCTGCGCCGTTTGTTGACAGTACGCTGTTGACACTACGCTGTTGACACTACGCTATCGACACTACGCTGTTGACTTCATCCACTGTTAAGGCGCACTCTCGGAAGAGGAGGAGGAGGAAGATGACAAGGACGACTACGACGACGACGAGGACGACGACGACGACGAGTACGAGGACGAGGAAGAGAAGGAGTCTGGGGAGGACCTACGACCAGGAGGACAGGCAGAGCCCCGGAGCTCTCCCTGAAGCGCCGCGGAGGCCCGGCCCCCAGGAGTTCGGCCAGGAGAGGGGGCCCGCCCGAGGAGCCCGTCCGAGCGGGGCCGCAGCCGCCCGCAGGCCCGAGGGCGGCAGGCCGCGGCCACCCGCGGCCGCCCGCCGCCGACGGCAGGGGACCTTCCTGGCAGGCCCGCCAGGGGCGGCTGCGGCCAGCCATGGCCTTCAGGGCGGCGGCGGGGCCGCCGCCGGGCCGAGGCGCGGCGGAGGCGGCCGGGGCTCAGGCAGCGGGGGACAGCGCTGCCGGGGGTCAGCCAATCCCCTCTGGCCGACCAGGGTTCGGGAGCCACGTGGGGCCGATTCCCTCTGTCCGCCCTCCGCTGGCCCAGGTTTGGGAGCTACGAAGCGGTCGGCTGGACTTCGCGACAGGGCCCTGGCCGACCCGGGGTAGTGCGTCCCCGAGGTGGTGCGGCCGCAGCCAGGGCGGCACGAGTCCAGAGGCAGCCGTCGTCGGCGGTGTCGACGTCGCGCTCGCGCGCGGGGGAGAAGGGGGGACTCAGGACTGAGGATCTATCCGAGAAGCAGTCCTATGGGAGGACCACTGGCGGGGGTATGCACGACGCCGAAACGGGTGCAGACCAGGGGGAGGGGGGGGAAGAGGAGGAGGGAGGATGGAGGAGGGAGGAGGGGCTTTCAGAGGTTATTTGAGGCCTTCGGCGGCTAGAGAGCTTCAAAACGGCGGTGTGGCTGCCAAGTTTGTCCTTCTGCGGCTGACACCGTGGCTTGGCAGCCAGTGGAGGCGTACGCCGACGATCCGTTTACAGAGGTCCTGGGCAAGGTCCATCCCCGGCCCAAGGTTGTCGGCTACGCGTAAGAGACCCTTTGCCGGAGTGACCTTGAGTGGTGGCCCGCAGGGCTTCCCCCAGCATTGGCTTGCGTGCTCGGATTTGGCCCACCCGTGGCCCCCTGAAGCCGCGCACCAGAGGTCACTCTTGCCCATCACTCCTGCGTGTGAACGAGGTTGGCATGGCCGAGGTTGGCGTGGTTGGATAGCTGGCGTCCCGTGAGAAGAAGAAGAAGAACTGCGTACAGCAAAGTTACAAGGTCTCTAAGTTCCGCTTGGATTTCTTGGGTCGACATTCGCGAGCTGCGCCTGTGCTGGGGCAAGACCTGCTTTGTGTCGTCGGCGGAGGTTTCGCGCTTTGACTCGCCTTTTGCAGGTTGGCCCTCGCGCGGCTCCAGGCTTGCCCGGTGCATTTTGCGAGCACCACCGTTCGGAGATTGACGTGACTGTGCTGTGGAAGCGGGCGGCGTCCCCAGCGCGGCCTCCACCGCGCCGAACGCCGGTGAAGGGGTGTGGGGAGGGAGTCAAAGCGCCAGCCCAAGAAACCCGCCCGGACTTCCGAAAGTGTGTGCACACGCTTCTTGTTGTTTTTCCCAACGCTCCTGTTTTGAGTTCTCGTTTTGAACAGAGCGCTGTTGACCCCATCTCCTCTCCTCGCCTTCCCCTTCTCCTGCCTCCTCCTGCGCTGCTCCGTGGGTGGCTGCGAACTGTGCAGCTGTCGCCACCTGCGTGGGATTTTGAGATGCACGGCGGAGTAGCGGAGTACCCGAGACCTCGCGGCTCCCTGGGAGGCTGCAACTTCCGCTGTCGCCCCTGTCGTGGGCTCCTGGGAGGCACGGCGGAGTAGGGGAGAACAGTACGCGCATCCAGCCGAGACCTCGCGGCTCCCCGGGTGGCTGCGAACTGCGCGCGCAATTGCTGCCTTTTTCGCGGGCTCCCACGACGGAATCGCGGAGCACGCGCACCCAGCCGAGACCTCGCGGCTCCGTGGGTGGTTGCGAACTGCGCAATTGTCGGCACATTCGTGGGCTCCTGGGAGGCAACACGGAGTAGGGGAGTAAACGGATCCAGTCGAGACCTTGCAGCTCCGTGGGTGGCTGCGAACTGCGCAATTGTCGGCACATTCGTGGGCTCCTGGGAGACACGACGGAGTAGGAGAGTGGACGGATCATTCGAGACCTCGCTGTTCTTTGGGTGGTTGCGAATTGTGCAACCGTCGCCGCTTCCGTGGACTCCTGGGAGGCACGGCGGGGTCGGGGGCCACGCGCACCCAGCCGAGAGTTCGCTGCTCCGTTGGGGGCTGCGACCTGCGCAACTGGCGCCAGTTTGGTTGGCCCCATGGGCGGTCCAGCGGAGTCGGAGGCCACGCGCGCCCAGACGAGACCTCGCTGTGTCTTGGGTGGCTGCGAACTGCGCAATTGTCGCCACTTTCGTGATCTCCTGGGAGGTTTAATGGAGTCGGGGGCCACGCGCACCCAGACGAGACCTCGCTGCTCCCTAGGTGGCTGTGAACTGCGCAATTGCCACCACTCTCTCGTGATCTCGTGTGAGGTTTAATGGAGTCGGGGGTCACGCGCATCCAGACAAGACTTCGCTGCTGCTTGGAATGGTGCGAAGTGCGCAAATGTCGCCACTTTCGTTGGCTCCCGGAGGTCCAGAGGAGTCGGGGACCACGCGGATCCAGCCGAGACCTCGCAGCTCCCTGAAGCTACGAAGTGCGCAACAGCTACGAAGTGCGCAACCGTCGCCACTTTTGTAGGCTCGCGTGAGGCACGGCGGAGGTGAGGGCATCGCAGATGGTGCATATCTGGCGATGTGTTCTTCTGTATGGAGCGTTCAGGCAAAGTTTCTCCTCGCGTGGAGAAGAGGTTCGGTGCGCCTCGAGTAAGTTTGGCGGTTTAGAGATTTTGGCCTCTTGGAGAGGTCCTGAGGAGCTCCGAGGGTACTTGGAACCGTCTTGTGGCCCTCGTCAGGCCTTTTGGATGCATGTCGGGAACTATCTTGAACCATCCTCGGCTATCTTTGAGCCGCTTGGACGCATCTTGGGGCCATCTTGGGCCATCTTGGACGCTCTGACCGATCGCGGCCCGCGCCAAATCACCTCAGGGAAGGGAGGGGAAGTGCACTTCTCCCGAAGGGAAGGGGTCTTCGGAAGAGGACAGGAATAACTCGCTAGACCACCTTAGCCCAACGGGCTGGTGGGATCTTAAGCAGGGTGTGCATTTGATCCGCGTCAAAACCAGGACGGGAATCAGATCCACCACATCTGAAAACGGATCCGCGCGGACGGAGATCGGACTCACGGCAAGACAAATGCAAACCACAGTCGGATCCGCACCAGCTTCATTTGATCCGCCATGGTTTCTCTCATGCGCGCAGGTGAAGGAATTGAAGCCGCCATGCCAGGCCCAAGAGGAAGCAACTTTCGTTCTGGGGATGGGCGTTTTGGCACTGGGACTTGTTTGTTGTCACAGAACCGACATGCCGCATCTCGCCTCAACTCTCCCGCGAAGCGCGGACACGTCTTGCAACAGATGTCGCCCTCCATCCATGCACTCGGTCGGCGGCGGGCGAGGAGCCGCGTCGTCGCATGACAGAGCGCAGAGGCCGTGTGTTGGGCCAGGAACCGCACACCGAACATGCACTGAGCGTTTTGTCACTTGGACTTGTTTGTTGTCACAGAGCCAACATGCCACATCTCGCCTCAACTCCCCCCGCGACTCGCGGTCACAGTTTGAATCAGTCCATCGACTCACGCCTTAATCCCCCCCCAGCCAGATTTAGTTTCTTCTTTCCGCGGGGGGCCAACCTTTGCGGCGACCCGTTAAACCCGGGATCCTTGGCAGCGCATGTATCTGTGTTCTTTCTTCCGCGCGCGCAGTGCCATTAGAACCCCTGAACCCATCCGACTAGAGTACAACTAGTATTTGAGTACAACTGGTACTAATACAACTCCTTAGTGCAACTCCCTAGTACAACTCCCTAATCCAACTCCCTGGTACTGGTACAGCTCCCTGGTACACCTCCCTAGTACAACTCCCTAGTACAATTCCTTGTTGCTGGTACAGCTTCCCAGTACAACTCCGTATGAGAATTCCTTAGCGCTACTAGAACTCCCTAGTACAACTCCCCAGTACAACTCCCTAGTACTAGTGCAACTCTCTTGCACAACTCCCTAGTACAACTCTCATGTACACCTCCATAGTACTAGTATATTTTCCTAGTGCAGCCTTTATTCGAGTGCTGCTGCATTATACTTGCAATCTGGGCTCGCGCGCTTTTCCTCCTCCGGCTGCGCTGGGGGGGGGGGGGACCCCGCGCGCGGGCACCCCCGTGGTTGAGAGTTCATTCCTTTTCCGGAGTTTCAGGGGGGTAACCCCCGTGCTCGAACCCCTCGCCAGGGATTTCTTGTTTTCTTCCGCGGAAGCGCCGTCCGCTGAGCCAAGAGAAGAGGCCGACAACGCACTCGGCGTTTTGCCCCTCTGACTTTCTTGTCGCCACAGGGCCCACATGCGGGATCTCGCCCGAATTCCCCCGCGACGCACGGTCACGTTGTGAAACATATGCTGCTCTCCATCCGTGCGCTCGGTCGGCGGCGGGCGAGAAGGCGCGCCGTCGCGTGGCACAGCAGAGAGGCCGTCCGTTTAGCCTAGCCAGGAGATTCAGGTCGCAAGCGCACTGAGCGCGTTGGCGCTCGGACTTGTCCGTTGTCACAGAGCCGACATGCCGCGTCTCGCCTTAACTCCTCGGCGACGCGCGGTCACGTTTTGAAGCAGATGCCGCCCTCCATCCATGCGCTCGGTCGTCGGCGGGCGAGGGGCCGCGCCGTTGCATCATGACAGAGCGCAGGGGCCGTCCAGTGGGCCAGGAATCGCAGGCCGAAAACGCACTGGACGTTTTGGCACTGGGACTTGCTTGCTGTCACAGAGCCGGCATGCCGCATCTCGCATTAAGTTCCCAGGCACGCGTGGTCTCGTTTTGAGGCAGATGCCGCCCTCCATCCACACATTCGGCCTGCGGCGGGAGAGGGGCCGCGCTGACGCATGACAGAGCGCAGAGGCCGTCCGTTGGGCCAGGAATCGCAATGGTTGTTTTGCCTTCGGACTTGTTTGTTGTCGCAGAGCTGACATGCCACATCTCGCCTCAACTCCCCCCGCGGCGCGCGGTCACGTTTTGAAACAGGTGTTGCCCTCAAGCTTCATTGGATCCATCATGGTTTCTCTCATGCGCGCCAGTGCAGGAGTTGAAGCCGCCATACCAGGCCCAAGAGGAAACAATTTCCGTTTTGGGGATGGGCGTTTTGGCACTGGGACTTGTTTGTTGTCACAGAACCGACATGCCGCATCTCGCCTCAACTCTCCCGCGAAGCGCGGACACGTCTTGCAACAGATGTCGCCCTCCATCCATGCACTCGGTCGGCGGCGGGCGAGGAGCCGCGCCGTCGCATGGCAGAGCGCAGATGCCGTGTGTTGGGCCAGGAATCGCACGCCGAAATCGCACCGTCGCGGGACGAGATGTTTCCTTGGTGAGGCGCCAACGGCGATAAGCGGTTGGCGATGGAGCGTCGGCGCCGCCAAGCGCACGGCGCCTGGACAAGTTGTTTGCAGCAGCTTGGGGGCGAAGGGAAGTGTATTCATGTTGGGTTCGTCCCGCGCGCGGTGAGGTATGATGGGTTCCGTGAGATCACGCGCGACCTGTCTGTGCAGCCCCCCCTGCCCCCGTAGAATCTGAACAGCGGTGGGCCTGGGTGCCGCGGATCCGATTTCTCCCGGTTCCCTGATTTATTTCGAAATCACGAATTCGAGCTAGGGTATTCATTGGTTTCGCTTGCCAAACACTGGACGGACATCAGATCCACACATCTGAAATCGGATCTGCGCGGAAGGAAGTCGGATCCACCGCAAGGGAAATACGAACCAAATTTGGACGCGCACCACATTCATTGGACCCGCCATGGTTTCTCTCATGTGTGCCAGCGCAAGAGCTGAAGTCATCATATCCACGCCCATGAGGAACACATTCTCGTGGCGAAGATGCCCCCCAGGGGCTTTTTTTTACACCAAGCCAATTATTGATTGTCCTGGGGCCCGAAGCGGCTTCCAGATGCCGAGATACTTGGAAGCCGTGGGGATGCAAGAAGCATGCCTTCGGAGGTATGGGTTCGGCCACACGTAAGAGTATCCTTTCGCAAAAGTGACCTCTGGTGCCAGATTTCGGGGGGGAGGCAAACCCAAAACCGAACAGGCCGCCACTATGGCATCGCACTGCAACGACAGGCAGGCCGCGCACAAGAAGCCACTCTCGCCTAGGGCTACACTTGCGTGGCCCACGTAGTTGGAGACATTCACACACGCACAAACACACACACTTACACTTGCACTTGCACTTGCACTTGCACTTACACTTACACTTACACTTACACTTACACTTACACACACGACGCGGCCAGCCTGGGCGAGAGCTGGATACACGCGACTGGAGGTTGTCCAGCGCTCGGCTCTGCTATGGCCGCGCAAGCCGTCCTCCTATGTACGCAACACGTGGCCTCTGAATGTTCCACTGGTGAATCTATTTATGCGTATGTCAAATTTCCTGGTAGCATATGAGCCGACGGTCTGGCTCGAAGAAGAAAACGAATAATAACAATAAGAACACTCATAACGACCTCACATCAAGTTTCGGAGGTCCGCGCGGATTCCATGGATCGGCGCTGGATTCGCCGCCAGGTGGTTCTGGCGCCGACCTAGAAATCCGTGCGAACCCGAAAAGCGTATGCTGTTTGTGCCAGGCTTGTGGTCTTGGATGGCGGCCCCAGGATACCACCAAAACGGCCACGCCACGGATTCCCCCGAGGATGCCCCAAGACCCAAAGCTGACGGAAACCTGTGTTTTGTGGCCTTCTCGCCTTTTTGGCTTCCGATGTGCTTTTGAGGCCTCAAGATGGCTCCAACATGGCCTCTCGGGAAGCTTCGCTCTGGATGCCTTCAGCTGGTCGGCCCGGGCCCCTCGAGCCAAGACGGGGCGATCCCAAAATGGTAATGAAGTCCGTGAGCCGTGAGTTCCGCAAGCGCACTCGCAGGGCATTGCTTGTACACCTGATTGCACCGATCTTGTCCAGGCCCATGCTGGGCCCAGGGTCGGTGCCCGTGCCCTCTTGCCCAGGCGGGAGGGCGTATGGCACCGATCCTGGGACCAGGCTGGGCCTGGCGCCCTCCTATAGACGTGTGGCCGCGCCGTTCTCTGCTCCTCCCCCCGAGGCGCCGGGACCGTCACGGCATCCGCGCCCCCCCCGGGCGTCCTCGGCGCGGCGGCGCCAGCGGACGCGCGCGCCGCCCCCGCGGCCGTGCCGCGGCCCCCCCCGGCCGGGGCCTCGCCGGGCGTCGGCGCCGCCGCGTCGTCGGCGGGCTGCGTCAGGCGGGAGGCGCGGCTGCACAGCGTGTGGCCCGGCGAGAACACCTTCTGCTGCGGGGGCGCGCTTTTCACAGGCTCTCCGCATCGTTTTCTGTCCTGGGGGGAGGGGCGCTTCCGCTTCTGGGGCCTCGTCGTCGCCGCGGCTGGACGCAGCTCGGAGCACTGGCCAGGATGGACCCCAGGAGGGGTCCAGTGCTAGGCTTTTGAGCGGATGCTGGAGTGTGGGCAGTCATGCCGATACCGATGCCCTTCCCAACCCCCTCGCTCTGTTGGGCCTCCTGGGGGGCTTTCGCTGGATTCCCCATGGGGTTCTGGTCAGAACGCGCTCGTGGAGAGGTCCGGGAACCAGCGGCATCATCGATTGTAATATGTATCGTGCTGGTTTGTATTCATAAATGTGTTGATTGCTGAACTATTCACGCACATCTACATAATAAGTATGCATATATATATATATACACATACACATAGCTCTACTTCCATACAGCCCTATGGCCCTATAGCCGTATAGCCCTATAGCCCTGTGGTCCTGTAGCCCTATCGCCCCATAGCCCTATATACTTATAGCCCTGTCGCACTATAGTCCCATAGCCCCAAAACCCCATAGCCCCATAGCCCTACAGCCCTATACCCCTATAGCTTTCTGGCCCTGCACCTCTACAGCCCTATAGACCTGTAGCCCTATGGCCCTACAACCCTACAGCCCCACAGCCATATAGCCCCAAAAAGACTCTGATTGGGTTTTTCCGGTATCATATTCCCCTAAACAGTGTTTGATCTTAGAGGGTTTTACTTGTGGCTTCACCATCTCAGGGTGGGTGGTTGCTTTTGCGGGCGGTGCCACCCGTCGCCGCCGTCGCCGTCGCCGCCGCTCGGGACGAGTGGCGGTTTTTGCGGGCGGTGCCGAGTGGCAGTTTTTGCGGGCGGTGCCGCCCGTCGCCGCCGCCCAAGATGCCTCCAAGACGCCCCCGAAACATTCCAAATCGTGACCGAGTGGGGCGCCTAGGAGGCTTCCACAAACCTCCAAGAAGCCATTAACACGTTTTCGCGAGGCTTCCAAGCGGCTTTCCACGGAGGGGCCTCCGGTAACAAAATGGGGGACGAGGAAGGGTTCTCAGGGTATGGCGAGAACGGGGAAGAGTGATAAGGAATATGAGAAAAAGAGACAGAACACATTGTAACGACAACGACGAAAACGGCAACGAGGAGTTATCGTTGTTTGTACGTCCGCCCGCAGGCCGAAATTGGACGAGCAAGGTGCATGTCTCAAATTGCCGATGAAGTTTAACGTGTGCAGATATATACACCGGTTGATGCACAATTGTGCGAGGTTACGTGTGTGTAAATATTTGTATCTATATATATATATACATACACATACATTTACACACATATATATTTATGTATACATACACATACATCTACATATATATATATATATATATATATATATGTATGTATATATATATATATGTATGTATCGTCCCAAGCAGTGTTTGCACTTATGGCTTTTTTATTTCTCTTCTAGGGACCTGGCCCTGCGGGCCGCTCTGGCTGCCACGTCGCCGCCGTAGCCGCCTCGTCGCCGCCCGTCGCTGCCCGCCACATGGGCCTGCGGGCCGCTCTGGCTGCCATGTGGCCGCCGTCGCCACCTCGTCGCCGCCCGTCGCCTTGGCCTGCGGGCCGCCCTGGCCGCCATGTGGCCGCCGCTCGCCACCTCGTCGCCGCTCGCCGCCTCGTCGCCGCCCGCTTTGCATTGCTTCGCGTTGCTTCGCGCTGCGTTGCATGAGTTGTTGCTTTGCATTGCATTGCTCTGCGTTGCTTTGCACCATTGCATTGCAATCGCACTTTTGCTTGCAATCGCATTGCATTGGACTGCATTGCATTGATTTGATTTGCTTTGGATTGCTATGCCGTGATTTGCATTGCTCTGCAGTGTTTTGCACTGCCTTGCATGACTTGGCATGCTTTGAACTGGTTTGCATTGCTTCGCATTGCTTGGCATTGCTTTTCATTGCTGTGTATTGCTTTGCGCTGCTTTGCATTGGTTGGCTTTGCTTTGCTTTATTTCGTATTGCTTTGCGTTACTTCGCATTGCATTACATTCCCCAAGCAGTGCTTGCACCTAGGAATTCGCATGTCTCCTCTAAGGAACTGGGCGGCTGTGTCGGTCTGTTGGCCCTGTAGCCGCCGTCGCCGCTCCATCTCCTCTCAGTCGCCGCCCGTCGTCTGGGCACTGTTCTGCAATCGCACTGCTTTGTCATTGTTTGGCAATGCTTGACGTAGATTGCACCACATGGATTGCACCACCTAGACTGCACCACACTGCACAACCAAAATTGCACCGCATGGATTGCAAGAAATCGCTTTTTGGGGTCCACGCTGACAAACACATAATTGATGCTGATGTTTGGCGACTATGTTTGTTCTCTCGGCAGGCGGCTCTGGGCACTCGTTCACGTCCTCGGGCGCCCTGAGGGGCTGCAGGCAGGCGGCGCTGGGGGGCTCGTCCGCCGGAGACTCTTTCATAAGATATGTCGAGGGGAGCCGCCTCCTCGATCATCCCTTGTTCCTCTCGGGATCCAACTGTTTCACCTGGACGTGCATTATGGTGCCGTCCGCTTTGTTTTTTGGCATCGCCCTGCCGTACTACTGGGGGCAGGTCCACCCCCTGGTGCCGATCGTGGCGATCTTCTTCTTCGTGATGACCACGAGCTGCCTTTTGCTGGCCTCCTGCTCAGACCCAGGCATCATTCCCCGCCGAGAGGTGATCCTCGCAGAGGGCTCTGCGGAGCGGCTCAAGGAGGAGCTCGGCTACGACGTGCTCGGGGTGCCGGGCGGCACTGCGGAGTCTGGCTCCCCTCGGAACGAGGTTTTCGGCTGCGCGTGAGGGCGAACCTTCGCCGGAGGGACCTTCTTGTGTGGGCCCACAAGGGGGCCCCCAGGCATTGGCTCGCGCGCTTAGACTTGGCTCCCCAGCGGCCTCCTGAAACCGCGCAATGAAGGTCACCCTTGCCGAGGGTCGCTCTGACGTGCGGCGGGGAGGTCCGCGTCAAGATTCCTGTGGAGTTACGGATGAAGGGCTACCGATGGTGCAGCACCTGCAAGATTGTGAGGCCACCACGGGCATCGCACTGCCCAGACTGCGACAATTGCGTGCTCCGCTTCGATCACCACTGCCCCTTCGTTAACAATTGCGTAGGCCAGAGGAACTACTTTTTCTTCATGGGCTTCACGACGTCCGTGTGCCTTCTGGCGATGGTGGTGATTCCGGCGCTGATGTGGTACCTGCTGGGGGTCAAGGGAGGCGACGCGGAGGGGAACGATTTCACGTTTGCCTCGGTGGACACCGGCGCTGTCCTCACGGCTGTGCTCATCACGATCGCAGCTGCCGGGGGCATCGGCGGCATTCTCGTGTTTGGACTGTGGGTGTATCACCTTTTCTTGGTGTTCGGAGAAGCGTCGGCGTAAACATAGCTCCGCTTTCGGAGATCCGTGCGGATTTTTTGGGTTGGCGCCGCACCCCCGTGGCGGCGCCTCCAGCACCGCCAGCGCCGATCCAAGGCATCCGCGCAGACCTCCGAAAGGTTCTGTATGTGCTGTCTTCTCCTCGTCCAGGTGTACAACGGCATCACCACGAAGGAGCATTGGAAGGGCACCCAGCCGGCGGAGGCCAGCGGAGAGCTGACCGTCTGCGTCCGAAGGGGGCCCCGGCTGTTCAACCCAAGGGCCCTCGTATGGTCCGTCCGGGCCACGGACCGGCCAGGAAACGGCAGCTGGAAGCTTGAGACCGCGGGACAGAAGGTCCGAGGGAGCAGAATTTGCATCACAACATGTTAGCCATCGTGGGCCCACAACGGTGTGTTTCTGGAAATCTGCGTGGTGAAATCTAGGTGGTGCTGTTAATCTGGGGACAAAAAGCGGAATTGTCATCCCACCCACCCACCCACCCGCAATTGGTTTGCAAAAGCCCATACGGCGGCGACTGCGATGAGTGCTTGGTGATGACTGGTGCATCTTTGCGGCCGCGCTAGCCCGCACATGCTCGCGCGCACAGCGGCCAGGTAGTTCGGCTCGACCGACGCGATCGCGGTCGCGCTGACCTCTGGGCACGTCCCAGCGCGTCTCGCAGGCCGCGCTGACGCCCCTGGGCACTTCAGCGCGAGTCGGTGGCTTGGGCGGGCGCGATACTATCATGGCGACGTCGACAACGGTAGACACGAAGGTCATAGTGGCGATGATGGCGACGATAAGGACGATGACGACGGCAAGGCCACTGACGGCGCCGATGCTGATGACGATGACGGTGTCTTCGCGTCGTTGATGACAGTTTGGAAAGGATTTCGACATGCGCGCGCGGCCGACGCGAGCGAATGGCCCGCATGGTTTTCTTTGACAGGGATCGTGCCACCCCAACACGCGCGCAGGGCGTTCGAATGATTTCGACCTGCTCGCGGGAGAGGTCCGTTCGGTCGAATGTAATGACAGCTTTGACACGTATACGCATGTTTTTCTTTTTTGATGAATTCACCAGAGCGCGCGTGAAGGCCTCTTATTCCCAAACTGGCGTTGGAAACCATGTGGTATTAAGTATTTCCGGGCATTCGATGATGAATACCGTCCGAAACCTAGGTTTTTTTCGAAGGATGTTGGCATACGCGCGCGACGACGCGCGCGTGTGCACTGCGTCTCCTTTGTGGTAAGGTGTTCTAGGAAACTGATGATTTGTGATGAACAGTTCGGCGCGCAAAGCGTTTTTTTGCGGAGGATGGTGAATGGTGTCGATACTACGCCGTTGCAAAAGTTCGTCACGTTTCAGGAGGGCTTGAAGATGGCACGGGTTTCGTGTCTTACTTCCGCGTGAGCGGGCGGGCAGAGTTTGGCCACTGTCCCGGCCGCGCCGAGCTGGCCCCGTCTTCCCTTTAGAATCCTAGCGGACTGAGTCAAGAGCGGTCGGATCAAAGATCTGCGATTATCAAAGGTGGGACTTCGTTCCCTATTGAAATAGCATAGATTCAAAATGGGGCAATTTACAATTCCGACGTAAAATCACACTGCTTCAGAAATCCCACCAGGCGGGATTTGCCCTTGCTTACGCCAGGTGATCACATTTCAACTTACGACGAAACTTTTGTCACGCCGATGAGAGGTCCACGACGGCGACGCATCATCATCCACCGCGTCTCATCGCACGCAACCCTGCGATGCTCGCCGCGCGGTGTCTAAAATGCAGATGAGGAGTCCACGACGGCGACGCATCATCATTCGCCCCGTCCATCTCATCGCACGCAACCCTGCGATGCTCGCCGCGCGGTGTCTGAAACGCCGTTGAGGGGTCCACGACGGTGACGCATCATCATCCACCCCATCCGTATCATCGCACGCAACCCTGCGGTGCTCGCCGCGCGGTGTCTGACATGCCGCTGAGGGATCCACGACGGCGACGCATCATCATTCACCCCATCCATCTGATCGCACGCAACCCTGCGATGCTCGCCGCGCGGTGTCTGAAATGCCGCTACGCCGTTACAAAAATTCGTCACTTTGGAGATAGCACGGGTTTCGTGTCTTACTTCCGCGTGAGCGGCGGGCAGAGTTTGGCCACTGTCCCGACCGCGCTGGCCCCCCCTTCCCCCTTAGAATCCTGGCGGACTGAGTCAAGAGCGGTCGGAGCCAAGATCCGGGATGTTCAAAAGTGGGATTTCATTCCCTACTATATCAGTTTACATTCAGAACGGGGTAATTTAAATTCCGACGTAATCACACGGCTTCAGAAATCCCACCGGGCGGGATTTGCTTTTGCTTGCGTCAGATGATCGAATCTGAATGTATGGCGAAATTTTTGTCACGCCGATGTAGTTGTTTGGCCGGCGCGGTGTGGTCTATATTCAAGGTGGGCTCCGCTCTTCGCGCAATGGCCGCACCCGCCCGCCCGCAACATGGCTCGCGAAAGCCATGTGGCGGCGATTGCAATGACTGCTTGGCTATCACTGGTGCGTCTCTGCGGTCGGGCTATCCCGCGCATGCTCGCGCTCGCAGCGGCCAGCTAATTTGGCGCGACCGACGCGGCCGCTGTGGCGCTGGACGCTGGGCACTGCCCAGCGGGCGCTTCAGTGCGAGTTGGCGACGTGGGCGGGCGCGGTATCATGGCGACGCCATCACTGGTGGGCGCGACGACGATGGCGGCGATGCTGGCGACGCTGGCGACAGCGGCGACGGCGCGGCCAGCGGCTGCGCCGATGCCGATTGCGCCGGCGACGGTGACGGCTCCCTCGCGTCGGCGACGAAGGTTTTGGAGGGAGTTCGACGCGCCTGGCAGCGGGGGGAAGTTTTGGCACATCAGTGCGAGTCGGTGACTTGGGCGGGCGCGGCACCACAGCGACGTCGACGACGGCGGGCGCGATGTTGACATATGTTGACTGTAGCGCCGATGGTGGCGATGGCGACAATGGCGACGGCATGGGCAGCGCCGATGCTGACCGCGCTGGCGACGACAACGACGACGACGACGGCGCCCTCGCATCGGCGACAAAGGTTACGATGCGCATTCCGGCGCGCGCGCGGCCGACGCGCGCGAGTGGCCCGCGTGATTTTATTCGGCAGGGATCGCGCCCCCGCCCCCGCCCCCCCCCCACCCCACCCAAGCGCGCGCAGGGGCGCTCGAATGATTTCGACGCGCGGCGCGCGAGGCCCGCGCGGTAGTTTTTTATGGGCCCGTCGAAGAATGCACGAGCGCACCAGCGATTCGCAAGAGCGGGCTCGCAGACATTTGCCCTTGAAAAATGGCGTTGCGAAACCATGTCTTTGAAGGCGTATTCTTGTTCCACTCGGTTTGGACATCCTCGCGCAACGCGAGGTTGCGGATGGATTCGGGCACGCGCGCGCGACGGCGCGCGCGCGCTTCGCCCCGTCCCTCGCAGGGCGCCCCGACGACAGCGCGCTCGAGGCCGTTCGAACGATTGCGGCGCGCGCGAAATGGGCGCGTTTGCTCGCGCGTGACGAAAATAGAGAAACACATGTCGGTTGTCTTCAGAATTTGAAGGAGCGCGAGAGCATGCCATTTGGAACGACATTTCGCTCGTGGAGCCATTGGCGCTACATTTGCATATGTTCGGGGCGTTCGATTTTTGATGCCCACGTGGAACCGATTGGGTTTTTGAAGGGTTGCGGCGCGTGCGCGCGACGACGCGCGCGCGTGCGCTTCGCCCCGCGCGCTTCGCCCCGTGCTCTGCGTTGGGCGTTGAAAAACTGTTGATTTGCGGTGAACGAGTGCGCGCGCATTTCTCCCCGGCGAATGGGGGGGGGGGGGGCGCGACGAAGGGCCGCCTGGGGCGGTGTGAATTCCCGTCTAGGGCGGGCGAGTGCGCGGAATCATGCGCGACGAACAATGCGAAAACACAGCGCGTCAAGTTCTGGAGGCGCGGGGGCGGGGCGGGGCGGGGGAGGGGCGGCGGGGGGGGGTCGCATTATTTTTCTGCCATAACCTACGTCGCGCAATCTATGCGGCGCAAATTTCGCGGCGCAGTTCGCCCCGCCTGCCGTGCCGCCCTCGCGATCATCCCGCCCGCCCACCCGGAATTTGGCCGGCGAGAACAAAGCGGCCGCGATTGCGATGAATGCTCGGCGCTGGTTGGCGCGTCGCCGCGGCCGCGCTCGCGCGCGCGCTCGCGCGCGCGGCGGCCAGTCAGTCCAGCGCGACCGACGCGGGCGCGGCAGCGCTGATCGCCGGGGGCGCCCCAGCGCGCCCCGCAAGCCGCGCCGGCGCGCGGGCGCGCGATCCACGTCGTGCTCGGGGGCAGATGCTGCTGCACCGAGCCTCACCTGATCCCCCAGGGGAAGGTTGCCATTCCAATCGACGGCAGGAACCGTAGCGTGTGGCTCACAGAGCTCGCGGGGCGATATCCCCTGGCTCTCTGTGGAGCCGTCGCTCAATGCTCCCGTCGGTCGACGCCCGCCCTGGCATGCCTTGGCGATGGCGCTCCTGCCTGGCGCTGGACCGCTGTGGAGGCCGCCGTCAGCGCTAGACGACCGCTCCCATGGCTTCGTCCGCCTCGATGCCCGGCCAGAGTGCAGAGCGGCCCCTGGCTGGGAGCACGCCGTCGGCTTTTGGGGCGTCTGCTGCCCCGCCCACTGGGGCCACGCTCGGGCCAGGCTGCCTCGACCCCAACTTCGAAGCCAACCGGGCGGCCGCCCGACGCCCCGTCACCCGAGGCCGAACCGACGCCAAAGGTGGCGCGAGGCGAGCCCGCCGCAGCGCCCAGCCTGATGCGCCCGACTGCAAAGCGGACGTCCAGGCCGACAGCGGCGGTGCCCTAGGTCGATAGCTCGACCATCGCGGCGGCCGACAGCCCTCCGTCTCCGCCGCGCCGACGCCCAGCGGCGGCGGGGCTGGCCGCGGCCAAGGTGGCGGCCCGCGTGGCGCGGCGGCAGGCCCAGGCGGCGGTCGCCCCGAGCGTGGCCATCTCAGACCTCGCACAGGTCGAGGCTCGCTACATGCCCAACGGCACCCGGATGCTCTACGGCCTAGCCTGCGCGACGTTCGAGCTGCGCATCCCGCAGAGCGGCCACCCGCCGACCGCGCTGAACGACCCAGGGGCCCTCGACCAAATCGGCGCCGCCACCGTCACTGTCGACCTCCTCGGCCAGCCCGAGACAGCCACCACCGCGGCAATGGCCGCCCTGGTGCAGCACGACGCGTTCTGGTGCCCAGGCGAGACGCTGACGCTTATGAAAGACGACATCGCGCTCCCTTCCGCAGCGGGCTATCAGGCGACGTTCAGCATCATGGCCCAGCAGGCGCAGATGGACCAGGCGCCGGCGCACCCGGCCAAGTCGGGCGAGTTCGACGACGCCGGCCTCGCCGGCCTCGAGCCCGGATTCGTCGCAGCTCCGCTGCAGGAGCGGCGACGCCAGGCTGCCAAGACAGACGTCGTCTTCTCGCCCCTCACTTTGGCCCGCCACGACAAGGAGTTGAAAGCAGCCGTGAACAGGTTCCGCCTCGACGGGCTCGGGATCTCCCCCCTCTGCCCGCCGCGGCGGGCCGCCCGCGGCCGCCCGCCGGAAACTGCTCGCGCTCGCGGGGGTCCAAAGTGGCCCGCTACTAGAAGATAGGGAACGCTGCCTCACCAGATCGCTCCGACGGGGCCCCGCGACGTGGCGCTGGAGTGCAAGAATGGGCCGCGTCTTCAACTCGCAGGCCAGCCCTATTTGCCGCGCAGAATCTTGCGCGACGCGCCGCAACCTGCCTGTGATGTTGATTTGGTGCACCTCTGCCCGCTCTCACTCCTGCGCGCGCGTTGGATTGCATTGTTTGCCCCGGCCCGCCCGCCTTTCGACGAGACCAATGGGTTGGCCGCTTGGCTGCGTGATTTTTTCTTTCGCGATATCTCGAGTTGACTTTTGCGCGGCTGTGCCCCGATGCGATCCAGATTCATTGTGCATCCTCGGCAGCCCCGTCGAACCTGGAATCGCAAAATACATGCCTGCGTCGACATCTCCCGCCTTGGCGATTGTCGCCCTTATTATTTTGTGGCTGTGCGCCAGCGCCCGCCATGGCCCCGCTAAATTCCAGCCGTATGCGCATTTTGTTCAGAGCGGAAGGGGTTGGTCCCAAAGGCGCCCGACCCGCCCTCCCCTTTTCGTTATATGATCAGTTTAAATTCGGTTTGTACGGTTCGGCTGCATGATTGTTTCTCTCGTGATATGTTGGTTTGATGTTTGTGCGGCTGTATCCCGATGCGATCCATATTCATTGTTTGATTGTGCATCCTCGGCAGGCCTGCCGAGCATTGAGTCACAAACTATATGCCTCTGTTGACCTCTCCCGTCTTGGTGATTGTTGCCCTTGTTCACCCCGCTAGCAGTCATAATAAAAGATATGTTTCAACACTTCTGTTGGAAACGTCCGAGAAACCTCGGACATCGCGAGTTTTCATTTTTTTTTGTTTCCCTCCCCGGGGCTTCTCTGGCCAGCCCAGGCTCCAGGATTTTCCGATGGGGGGGGGGCGACAAAAATGCGAATTTGCTTTTTATGTCGGTGGTTTTTCGGGGGTATGAGTTCAGATGTTGCCAGTGCCGCGAAATTAACAGAGTGTGATGAGGAATCCTAGGGTTATCCGCGGTGGTTTTGAGGCTTGGGACCACATGGACCTGCCAGAATGGCCGCGACATTGATTTTGTATATTGTGATATACTTGACCGAGTGCTCCTCCTGCCCCTCCTACCCCCCCCCTTCTGAGCCGCTGCAGCGGCCCGAAACATATTCAGGATCGCACTCCCGTGAAGTTTCTCTCACTCCCACCCGCCCACCGCCGCTCGAGGGAGTGGCGGGGTTGGTTCGGGCTGGCGAGGACCGATTTGGAAGCAGTCCGAAGTTGACCAGCCCACTCTTTCTTATGACCGTCCGAGCGTCGGCCGCTTGGTGCGTTGTCGAATGCGGCGACGCGGCCAAAAAGACTGCCTCAGGATGCGCAAGTCAATTTAGAAACGTTAGGTTGGAGACTTGACGAGCGGTTGAATGTCGCTTCTTGCCCGACCACCCCCCCAGGCTAAACAAAAGACGATGGTTTAAAGACGACATAAGAGGCGCCCACGACAACCGCTGAGGGCCCAATGATGGTCTCAGACGGCCCCTTCCCTGAACAAGTTCTAAACGCCCCCGTTCGCTATGCGCGAATTTTCGCCCCCACGCCGAAGACACCTAAGGAACCAAGGGTTCAACGGCGCAGCGTAGCAAACCGATAACATTATTTATCAGGGAAGGATAATCTAGGGCGGCGACGAAGCGGCGACGAGGCGGCGACGGTGACAACACATCCACCAGACCGACACACAGGCCCTGACGACGGGCGGCGACGAGGAGGCGACGGGGCGGCGACGGCGAGTGCATAGCCGCCAGAGCAGCCACGCGGCCCAGACGACAAGCGGCGACGAGGCGGCGACGGCGAGTACATGGCCACCAGGCCGGCCACAAGGCTCAGTTCCTTAGAGCACAAAAAGGAACCCTCAAGTGCAGGCACGGTTTGGGGAACGTGGGGCTCTCCAAAAAGGCCCTCGCGTTGGAGGATCGAAAGAGTTGGGATCTCCCTGGCGGGAGGCGGCGGAAGGTAGGCGGAATGCGGTGGAAGGAAAACGAGGCCGCTTCCCCCGGCGAAAGGCTAGCGGAACCCAGCAGGTAAAAAGTGCGCCCCCGAAAGATGGCAACATGTTCGGGTTCAGGGCTTCCGGAACCGACCGCATGCTTCGGCTGCGCGTGCGAGTAATTTTTCGTTCTGGAGCGGCCTCTGGTGCGGGCGCATTGGGGTTCCCAGACGGCTGAATGCGGTGCGATAGCAGTGGCTCGCGCACTCGGGTTTTGGCCCGCCCGCGCCCCCCGAAGTTGCGCACCAAAGGCCACTCTTGCGTAGGGCCACACTTGCGTGCAGAAGAACTGCTAGAGGTACGCGCAGATTTCTTGGGTCGGCGCTGGACCCCCCCTCCCTGGCGCGCGGGGCGTGCCAGGGGCAGCGCCGCCAGGAGGGTCCATCGCCGATCTAAGAAATCCGACCGGACCCCCCCCCCAGAAGTTTATGTTTATGCATATTTGCTCTGTTCCGAAGGTGCAGTGTGTGTGAGCAGGGCCAGCATGCCCCAGGCAAAGGCCTGGAGTAATCAGGTGGTTCCAGGCCGCCCGAACGGAGTTGGAGCAGATGGCATCGAAGAGTAGCGCATAGAGCCATGCCGCCGATGCATCGACGATGCATCGGCGATGCGGGGAGTTCCAGAGCACGATTGTCCCCATCCCGTCGTCACCAGTGCATCGCCGATGCATCTCCGAAGCGGCGCAACACTCGACCACATGTACGCCAGCCTCACTTGGGCGGCTTCCAGTGGAGGAGATGGGAAGATGACCACCTTGTGGTCATGGCTTATTTGGATCGTCCGCGTATTCTCTGTTCTATCGGCCTCGCGTCGAATCCTTCCTATGTGTTGCATCCGCCCTGCACACGCTGTGGCCATGGCCCATCGAGGCGGCTCCGACGTTCTCAGCGCGCGCGCCCTGAACAGGTTGCCGCTCGCCTCGCCTCGCCTCGCCTCGCCTTCCAGGTCGTTGCCGTAGTGCGGCACCCGGACCAGCAGGCGGTCCAAAGTCTATGTGCAACCTCGGGGCTCGCAGAGATGGATAAGGAAAGCCCCCCCGGGCTGGCCTCCCCTGCTACACTCTCCAATCGGACCCCAAGGGGGGGGCAGGGGGAGCAGGAGCCCAGGATCCCAGGAGACCAGGAGCCAGGGGAGGATGGAGCTGGGAGGGGGAGAGGAGGAGGACCAGGGGCCCCGAGGAGGGGGGGAGGGGGGAGGGGGGTCTGACCAGAGAGTGGCAGGAGAGGTCAACCGGGGGAAGAGGGAGGAACGTCGTGTCTCGATCGTGAGCACAGCCCCGCATCTGACCGCACAACACCCGCACAACACCCGCACAACACCCGCAAATAGCGGGGTACACCATAACTGGCCCCCCCATGGAGGTGGCCGCAACAGCGGTGAGCGCCACGCACAGTGGCCCCACTTGATGCATTTAGGCATACCGACCCCCATCGGGGGCCGACGCCCAAGCGGCCCATTCACTCAAGTCTGAGGGACGCCCCCCCCCCGGGGCACTGGCCCCGGGAAGCCCGAAGGGGAAGCCCCTCCCCCTGACACACAAGGGGGGCGTTGCGATCGAGACCTCCGTCCTAGAGAGAGCGCTCAATGCAACGAGTTGGCGATAAGATTTCGGCTCCCAGTCCACACGTATTCGCAGTCATGCAATGAACTCTGAACACGCCCCTCTCCTGCCGCTCACGGCCCCTAGCGGCCGCCGGCGTCCACGGCCATCGCCGCGGCGCCCCCGCCATCGCCGGCTCATCCGCCTGCCCCTGCGGCGCCTCCCGCCGCCGGGGCCGCTGCCGCAGGCAGGCCGCCCGCGGCCGCCGCTGGTCCCCCCGCCGCTCCTGCTGCGGCTGCTGGGCGCCGCAGCACTCCGTCAGGGCCCTTCCTGCCCTTGCCCCTCCCCTTGCCCCGCTTTCCCGGCGCCTTGCCCTGGCCGTTCTTGCCCCCCTGGCCGCCCTTCCCGGCGCCTTTCTCGCGCTCCGCCCTGGTGCGCTCTGCCCACATGAGCACCACCCTTGGCGGCGCCTGGCCGGCCGGCACCGCCGGAGCCGGGACGCCCCCTGCGGCCAAGCCAGAGGCCCGGCGCAGGTGGCGGTCCAGGGTCCCCAGCTTGTTCCTGATGACCCCCGTCACGTGGCACGGCTCCAGGACAAGGTTGAACTTGCCCGGGAGCCTCACCCTGTGCCCCGCTGCCGCGTCGAAGCCCTCCTGGACTCCTGGGCGTAGACACCCAGGAGGACTCCGTCGGCGCTCATCATCTGCTGGATCTCTCCAACAGCCACGGCCTGGTCGACCTTCTCCTGGGCGGTCTCCTGCTGCGGCGCCAGGGCCAGCCCAGGCCCAGATGCCTTGCCAGGGTCTCGGCTGCCGCGGCTGGCCACTCACGGCGCATCTCGCGGTACTCCTTCTGTGGCTCGCGAGCGAGCCACAGCGACTCGCAGGGCCCCTCAATCCCGACCGACACCAGCCGGGTTCCCTTCTCGAGGCGCTCCACCCGGCCCCTCAGGTTCGCTTGCCCCTGGCGGAGCTCCGCCACCTCCTGCTCCAGGGCGTCCAGGCGGCGGGCGACTACGTCCGTGGCACAAGCAATGCACAAATGACCGTAGCACAAGCGTAGCAAAAGCGAAAACGTCCGTAGCACAAGCGTAACACAAACGAATACGTCCGTAGCAAGAGAAACAGAGGGTATATGAATCCCAACACCATCGATGACCACACTTTCCCTTTGCGTGGATCTGTGGATCTGGGACGGTTGCTCATACGATCGTTATGATATCACAAGAGCCCAACATACAGCGAAAAACAATGACACCCAGCACCGACGACACTCGCATGGGAATGGGAATGGGGAGGGAACGATAGGGTGGGGAATGTGGGAATCACTGTTCAAGGAGGCATTACGCTCGAGACTATCTCACTCAAAGAACCTCCACGAGCTCCGCCCCGACTGCGTGGGGCTCGGGGGCGGCTGGTCACTCGGTGGAAACCGGCGACCTGGCAAATGGATGGGGCAAGCCCCTCCGTATGCCGCCCCCGGATGGCCGGGGGAACCCGCCATCGGCAGAGTGCGGTGTAGAAACACCAACACTGGCAGCGCAACTTCAAATTAATTGTTGAACTCGTGGTCCAGGAAATGATGTGGGGATGACTATTGATTTACGGAAGCATCACGCTCGAAACAACCTCTGCGTGGGGCTAGGGGGCGGCTGGTCACTCGGTGGAAACCGGCAGCCTGGCAGATGGACGGTGCAAGCCCCTCAGTGTGCCGCCCCCGGATGGCCGGGGGAACCCGCCATCGGCAGAGTGCGGTGTAGAAACACTTGCGCAGACTAGATCCGCGCGCCACCACTCCCGGGGGCCAGAGAGGAAGCGGGGGGGACGAGCGAGGGGGAGAGGAGGGAAGAACGAGCTCGTACGAGGAGGACGGGGAGAGAAAGGAAGAAGGGAGACAAGGCGCCCCCCGAAGTGGCGACCCTCGAGCTGTGGAGCACGTGGTCCCAGACGCTGGGACTGGCCGAAGCCAGCCAGTGGCACAACCTCAGAAATGAGCGCGGGCTTTGCCCTTAGCTTTGCCCTTTGCCTTGGCCTCACTGCGCGCCTTGGCCTCGGCGCGCGCCGCTAGACCCACGCCCCGGCCCCGGCTGTGAGGCGCTCGGGGCCTCGGTTTCCCCTTAGGCTTGGCTCTCGCCCTCGACGCCGCCTTGGCTTTAGCCTTACTTTTGGGCGCCGCCGCGCCAGCCAGGGCGGCTGCCGCTACCGCGACATTCCCCACCCCCGCCGGTGCCCCCTTGCAGAATTTCTCATGGACTCCCAATGGGCGGCTCAACTCACCGGCTGGCGGAGCCGGGAATACCTTGCCGCACTTTCTACACGTGCGGTTCGCGATATCACTGCCCCTGCATTTGCTCTCGTGGACCATACGGCCGGTTTCCTTAACTAGCATCCCGCATTTCCTACATTTCGAGTTCCCCACAGGGATATGGATGTTCCAAATCCCCCCGGAAATATGTCGAAGAAACTGCTTGTTTTTATTATGCCGCCTAAGAAGTTCAAAGTTCCTACAGGCGAACGACCGTTTCCTAGCTCTCGCCCTCTTCCTAGCTTTCCTATTGTTCACTCTGCGACGCACATTCCTCCGTCAACACCGTGTACCACCTGCACTGCTGGTATCGATGGGTCCCAAATTGCTAGAATTCAGTGGGCCAAAAGGAACGTAATCGCTGAACGGCGTGCCTGGACCAAGGGCGTCGCTGGATCCACCCCCTGCCCCGTCACCTGGGGAAAGGTCCGAAGACCCAACCGGCCCATGGTGAATGTGAGACGGAGGGGGTTGCACGCTCCCGCCCCCGAGCAATCCAGGTTGGCCGGTAGTAGGCCCGACTGGGCGTGATTCCGAGGGCACAGTGCTTGTGAGCACGGACCTACCACCTCTAATGACGCTGGAGGGGGCACCCCCGAGGGGGCATGGGTTAGCCGCATTTCTTCCCTCCTCCCCTCCGTGCCCCCACATACCAAACGTCTGAAGGACGCACACACCTAGCACCCAGATGACAATTAGGGGGGTGGGGGTGGTGTCGAATGGATGGGGATGTAGGTACGTGGTCCCAGCTGCGGCCGGGACCGCTCATGTCCAGAGGGAGCCTTACAAACCCGATGCATCCTTGATACGACGCCGGAGCGGTCGAGGTAGGTTGCCGCTCGCTTACATCAAGCTCCTGCCACATCGGCTCCGGTTGCTGACATCGTGTGAGATTATTGAATCGCTTCGCTCATTCCGCCGGCCCGTGATATGGCATCGCTGGTTTTTGTCTGTGTGTTCGTTGCCCATGTTGCGCTCTTGGGGGCGGGTGTCGTTCGGACGCGTTGCGTGGGGAGTTTTGATGGTGAAGCAGTTCCCTGGGGGTCGTCTCTCGATGGGGCGAAATAGAGTCGTCGTCAAGATGCTTCTTTGGGGGGCCTCTTGGGGTCTGTTGAGAGGCCGTTCGGGGGCGCCTGGGAGACATGTTTGAAGCCTTCTGGGGCTTCTTTTGGGCCTCCTGGGAGTCTCCTGGGGCCTCTTGGCGACATCTTGGGGCCTCTTGGAGGCCTCTTGGGGCCTCTTTGGGACCTCCTGGGCGCCTTCTGGGACGGAGGGCTCCATTTTTGAGTTCTCGGTATCCCTCCTGAGTCCCTCTTGGGCCCGTCTTGGGGCCTCTTGGTCCGTCTTGGGCGGTACTTGGGCCGTCTTGAGGGCTCTCTTAAGTCGTTTCGGCGCCGTCTTGGGAGCTTCGTGGGCCGTCTTGGAGCGGTCTTGGGGGCCTCTTGGGCCGTCTTGGAGCGTTCGGAAGCTGAAAAAGCCAGAACACAAAAAACATAGAAACAAAACAATGAAAATCAACGATTTTGGCCTCTTGGGGCTCTCTTCGGAGGCCTCTTGGAAGGCTCTTGGGGCGTCTTGGAGGCCTCTTGGGCTGTCTTGGGGGCCTTTTGGGCCGTCTTGGGGTCATCTTCGGCGTCTTCGAGCGCTCTTTGGGCGTCTCGGGGGCCTCTTGGGCAGTCTTGGGGGCCTCTTGGGGCACTCTGAGCGCGCTCTGGGGAGCCTGGGAGGCCGCACCCAGAAGGAAAACTATCTCTGAGTAGACTTGGTCGCGCGGCGGTCGGGCGGCGACCGGGCGTTGGTCGGGGTACTTTTTGCCGGGGGACCCCCAGGGGCCGCTCCGCGCGGGCGAACTAGAAATACTGTTGATACTGTTAACCAGTTACCGGAGATCTTAGCACGCCCTGGCCCGTTGGGCCGGCGAATTTGTGTGTATTTATTTGTGTGTTCGTGGGCCCCTGCGGGCGATCGTGGGGAGCCTCTGCGGGCCGTCCTGGAGCGTCGACGGCCCGAGAAGGCGAGAGCGCGAAAGTGCGTCAAGACCGGAGGAACATCAGCGATGTCGGCCTCTCTCGAGGCCCTCCTTCGAGGCCCTCTCGGCGCCTAAAGGAGGCCTCTTGGAGGTATCTCGGTGCGTTTTGGGGGATCGCGCGGGCCGTCTGGAGGCCATCTTGGGCACCTCGGAGCGATCTCTCGGCGATTCGGGGCCCCCTCGGGCTCTCCTGCCGGAAAAGTCGTGCAGGGGCACGAGGGAAACCCCAAGAGCGCCCGAGAGCGCCTG